TATTTTATATACACAAACTCATTTTTTTACTAAAAATTAGGATAATTGAAGAAAAAAAATTGAATCTTCTATTTGTTTTATTACGAATTTAAATTTACAAAAACAATATATTTATAATATAAATACTATATTGTATGGAAAAAAGAGTAGTTTTGAGGGTTGAAAAAAAAATTATCATTTTTAATAAAATAAATTGATAATATAATTAATTATTTTGATTCTATCACTATTTCTTATAGGTATAAACCATATTTTACTATAAAAAAAACTTATAAAATATAATATCTTTCTTGAAAAAAACTCAATCGTCGAAAGAAACCGAACCATTGTTAAAAATTATTCAAAAACAGAAACCAAGGAAAAAAGACTATTCCAACTCGTTTGAAAAAACACATTTGGGAAATTCAAATGTAAACATATTAAACTCCGTATTTGGTAGGATAATTGGATTAGATATAACAAAAAACTTTCATGACTTCCCATAAAACCAGAACAAAAACTACTTAAACTTCGAAAGTTAATATTTATAATAAATTTAATCATTTATATAGTAAAATAGAAACTTCAGTATTTTATAAATAGAAACATTTACCATCTCGTTATTTTAAAGTCATGGAAAATTCGTGCAACACCCCAATTTTCAACGAGATAGACTCAACACCGATTCCACCGGACATCGAAGGAGACAAAGAGTACCACCTCAAATTATGTCTTTGCCCACTTTGCAAGCATGGGATGGAGGTATTTGGCGCGAAGCGACCCGTTTCGTGGATCATGATTTGTCGTGTCATTTTGTACTCTCTCATGGAAATACACAAAGGGACTGTATATTTTTCGCTCAAAGACGACATCCACGGTTTTGTTGCGCAACATTGGCATATTTTCGGACAACTCGACCAATGTTTGTTCTTTTGAGTCCGATCTAAATGGCTCACAAATAGTCAAAACAAATCCCAACCGTTGGAAAAAAAGCTTTCTGTTTGTTATTTTCTTTTCTTCTTCTCTTTGGTATTTTCAATCAACACTGATGTCTCGTTTTCGAAATGGTTCAAAATATGTATATTCTGTTTCATCCCCTCTCTAGTTCAAAGAATTTAATTGTGAACTAACGCGTAGCGATGGACTCTCACACAGTCCATTTTTCCAGAGCGGCACGCTGACTCTGAAAAAGCCCAATTTCTGGAAATTGCGTCGTCGCGATTGCCCATGGGTTAAAACGAAAAAAACGGAACTCACCGAGACAGACGATGCCGAGGCAAAGGACGAAAAAAAGACACCGCGGAAGAGTGCAATTCTCAAATCACCGACGCTTGATCCGCAAACGATCACAACGAAAGAGAATGCACGAGAATTTCTGCGGGAGTCTGTTGAACGGATGAAAACACAACTCGACAAATGCCACGAGGTCTGTCAGGAACTTGTTAAAGACCCCACACATGCCAATGAGATGAAGATGATCGATGACCAACTTAATTACGTTCACAACTCGCTAAACGTCGTCTCCGCGAATTTGGAGATGACGCTCTTCTGATTCTCCAAATGCTTTGTTTTTGTATCAAAATTTATTACTTTTATTCCTTTATCAATTGAATCTTTCCACACATTTAAAAATAATGATTAATTATAGTAAATTATAATTAAAAATAGTAAATCATTTTGCAATCTGAAGAGGAAGTGAGTAAATGACATCACCAACTTTGAAGCGAATTTGAGTGACAATAAACGGTGAGAAGTCGAGTTTTGTGATTGACGGTGGCGGAATATCGAGAGATTTAATACGAGAAAAAAATGAGGCGTGGACAACTCTCTCTTCATTATACTTCTCTTTACAAAAAGCGAGTAGAACGGAGTCAACAACATCAAGAAGTTTTGAAAAGCTCTCTGAAACCGCAACAACACTGAGAAATTCTGTGTTGTTCTCTGGATTTTTGAGATAAACAAAATCAGTAAGAGAAACTTGAAACTCTGGAATACTTCGGACAAGCCGCCGAAGCGTTCGGACAAATACCGATATTTGGTGGTCTCTGAGGGAAAACTCTCTTGAAATTGTGATATGGGGGCTTTTTATCAACGTGAAAAATGTCCCTTCGAGTTGTTTTGTGAGGTCCGGGTTTAAAACAACTGCACACACATCGGTTGGAAGGTCTATTTGAACGGAGGAGGGAAAATCGCCGATACGAAAAGGCCTTTGGCGAATACGTGTGAGTTGGTCTTTTGTTGCTTTTTCTTTTGTTCCTTTTGTCCGTTGTGGAGCGTAAAGGCTTTGAAGTTGTGTAAATAGATCTGTTGCGCGTGTAGCATTTGATGAAATAATCTGTCGTTCCTCCATGTTATAACTTTTGAGATGGTTTGATTAATTTCAATTGAGCAAATACAACATTTATTGTGACATATTTACTATAAATAATAGTAAATATGTAATTACAATTATTGATAAATCAATAATTAATTAATAATTCTTTTCTTTTTTTTTTGTTGGGGAAAGAAAAGGCTGTTCAATGCGGAAAAAGTGGGAAAACCCTTGATTCTTTTTCGAAAAGAAAAGAGGGTAAAAACTCAAAAAGAAGACAATGCCTCGAACATATAAGCAAACGTACAGCCAAAAGCGAGCCAAGAAGAAAGAAGAGAGTCTCAAAAAGGCTGAGAAGCTCAAAGCGAACGAACTTGAATATAGAAGAACACCAAAGTCCTTTGTCATTCGAAGAGGACGTATCGGGAAAATAGCGCGTGATTTGGTGAAGGACACAAGATACTTGATGCTTCCAAATACAGCTATCAACTTGAGAGAAAGAGCTTCTAATACCGTCAACGAACTTAAAATGGCGGGTCTTGAAATGTGTGTGTCACACTTCTTGGTGTACTCATCTGCGTCGACTGGTCTTCACTTGAGAATTGCGAAGTTGCCCAGAGGACCGACCTGCTTATTTAAAGTTGAAGAGTACTCTCTCAAGAAGGATCTTCAAGCGGCAAACAACCTCACGTTATCACAGACTTCGTATGTCATGAGACACCCCCCACTGCTCATTTTGAACGGATTCAATAAAGGCGGGGAGGAGATGAAAACGGTCAGGACTGTACTTCAAATGATGTTCCCACCTATTCAAGCGTCTGTGGTTTGTTTATTTGAATTATTATGATAAAAAAGTACTTATTGATAGGCAAGACTTCATCAATTTAGAAGGGCAATGTTGTTCTCATACGACGAGAAGACGGGACTTATTGATCTGAGGCATTACCTCATCAAAACAAGACAAGCACATGAAAAACAAAGAAAAGAAGAAGAAGAAGAAGAAGAGTTTGTTCGTCGTATTAGTTGTGTAACAAATAGCATGGTATAAATAACTTACTCTACTATAATAGATGATGAATGAATTTAAGTAACAAATAGCGAAGATATACCAGAAGACAAAGTTGTGTTGCCAATAAATGAAGATGGCAAGGAAAACATCATGAAGAAGAAAACACTTGTGAAATTGGTGGAAATTGGGCCACGGATGACCCTGAAATTGTTGTCTATATTGAGCGACTTTTTGCGAGGAAGAATAGTATATAGATTGTATGACTACGACGACGACGAAAAGTGGATGAAAGACAACGCAGAAGTGTTCCAACAAGCGAAACAGGAGTATGTCGAGAACAAGGAGAAGAGAAAAGAAAAAGAGAAGAAAAAGAGAATGGACATGGAGAAGGACAAACAACGAATGGAGGAGGATAGTGAAAATGATGAAGACGATGTGTTTTATGATGACGAAGAACTTATGAAGATGGAGGAAGACAATTGATTGTGTCTGCTTGCTAGTTTTTGGTTGAATATTTCAATAGTATAATTAATAGTATAATAAATAGTAAATAACTAGATAAAATACAATTTACTTACAGAATAGGACCATCTGTTGGCTTCCAACTGCCTCCTCTTCTTTTTGCTTGTTTTGGTTTTCTCTTTTGAAGGACATCACTAGCTGACTCTTCTGGTTTTGACTCTGAGCAAAAAGAAATGGTCAATGGCACGAAAGGAATTGATTCAGAGACTTGTTTTGGCTTTGTTCTTCGTTTTGATTGCACGAGGATTTGTGGGGTTTGATTGCCATGGGATTGGATGAGTCTGTCGATCAGTGGTTCGCCTATTTTAAGAGAGAGTCGCTCTTTATGTTGAGTACATTCGAATTTTGAGAAAGGATCGGGGACATAGATTTGTGGTGTTGTTGTTGATGACGCGACCAACGAAGATGAAGGCGCCAAATTGTCTGAAGACCTATTATTCAATTTTCGAATAGTCTCTGTAATGATCATAATCACATTGTTTTTCTTCTCTGGAGTAAGGTCGAGTGGGAAGAGCAAATTTTTGAGTTCGTCGATTGACATCAGTTGAATAACATCTAACGAGAAGAAGCCATTTGCTATTAATATTTGACACGTCTCTTCATCCGTTATAGTGTCACGTAACACATCGATGGGTTCTTTATATATTGATGGCTTGTCGAAGACCAACGACTCATTTGAAAAAGACTTGACGCCCGTTGTTTTCGAAACCATTTCAGTGATGTAAGAGATAACATTGTCAGTCTCTTCTTTTATAATGTTCTTTAATTGTGTGCGGAAACTATAACACTTTGCCGACTTGAACTTTTTGGATAATCGCGACGAGTTCTTCTTTTGGTCAGGAAGGTCGGAGTGTAAGAAAATGGACGAATATTTGTTTGACTTGTAATTCGACGCTTTCACGCCACATGGATTCTAGTCATTAGTTTCATTTACTATTTCATACTATTTATTACTAGTAGGAAGAGAACAAACGAGAAAGACACACCCACCAACACTTTGCTTCTGTTTTCGACACGAATCAATCAATTCCATTGCAGCCATCGCACCTTCCCCAGACGCTATAAAAAACACATTTTCAACTTCATTGGTGTGAATGGCCAAATCAAACATATCAAGTAATTCACATAAGAAGTTACCAGGCGTGAATTTACTGTCTTGATAGAACCCGACATATTCAAAAGTGATGATGGGGATCTTGGTGACTTCCGCAATGACATCTATCGACTCAATAGCACTCACAAAGTGTTCGTCTAACGAATGAAAGTAAATGAAGATCGTTGTTTTGTTCAAGTCAGAGTGAGGGCTGACTATGAGATAAGGTGTACTGTTATACCCAATCCGTTTCGCGTTCTTTGGAATATCCACGTAACTCCCGGTCGACCCAACTACCTTCGAAGCATCGGCTAAATTCATATGTTCTCAAATTTGAGTTTTGCTTGTCGGAAATTATTATTTGTAGTTATCAGAAATAAATTTATAACGTAAATTGGTATATTTACTATACTAATAGTAAAATTATGAGATTGAGAAATTGTTTGGTTTCAAGAAAACTCTTCACTTTTTGTTTAATGATGTCGAAATATATATATTAGAATTAAACTACAACAAACTATAAAAACTAAAACGAGATTAATACTAGTATTTACCATTTAAGTATTTATAATTAAATTCTGAAGATATGAACTGTGTCTTTTAAACAATTAGAAAGAAAAGTGTTTATACGTGGAATTTTGACGAAGAATATTAAGTAAAAAGTATAAAAATATTATATGAAAGAAAATAACGCCAAGAACAATGTTTGTTACGATCTTAAAATTTGGTTGTGATAATTGTCAGTTCTAACATTTTTTTTAAAATATAAACTTTATTATAATATTATTATTAATATTTATAATTTAGTTTATTTAATTCAATAATAATATCTTTATTTTTGGTCAGGGTATCCCAAATTACTATGGATGTGCCAAATCTTTTTAGGCCACAAAATCGGGTCGCAACTCTTAAAAATAGAGCATTTTATAAATAAACAGACAAATTTTATTTTTTTTCTGAACAAATAAATTGTTAAATATTATTCAATTAATTAACAGATCAGTTCCAAAATTACAACATGTTAAAAATACGACATCTAGATTATTTTTAGAAATACGAACTGGGATGAAACAATTTTTAATTATTACACAAAAATTGATTTTGAATAAAACAAATAACTTTAAAATAACACAAATAACCTCTTACAACACAGAAATTATTTCTGACTTTTTTTGATTTCTCAGAACCACACTCTTAGATCCACTTTATCCTAAAATTGAATATTTTACTTGGTTGTTTTCGATGTTTTTAAACAAACTTATCTTTTGGAATTTGCGAATTAATATTTGAACTGACACACTTTTTGAATATAAATTTCATATCTGATAATACATCACAAAAACGCCAATAAAGGTTATTAAATAGAAACGAATTGAGTACGTAATATTTTTGAGTAAGAAGATAAATTGAATTATATTTTGTGTTTGAGTAAATAATGATGTTTTGATTTTGTAGAAAATCATATACCATCTGGTTTGATTTTTAAATTATTTGATTGAAATTACATAATTACTGATGATGTTGTAATGAAAGTGTAATAGTACTGTTCAATAATGTAAATGGCCAAATAGCAAAGTTGTGTGTATGACCATTAATACAATCATCATTGGCAATCAACCAATTGTTGTTTACCATATATTCCTTATTGGAATATGAAAATAAAGTGAAGACGACTTAAATAGTCACTTATGACTTTAATTTTTGTTTATGAGAATAAAATACAGAAACTTTTGCTTATGGGTTTTTGATTTTTTAAAGCAGATATTTTATGGATGAAAAGATGGGAATTCCAATGAAAACAAGAAAAAATAATCATGCAAATATTTTTAATTTATTCAACTGGACTAATATGTTTTTATGTTTCTTTTTATATATATCATAAATAATTCGGTCTTTTCAAAATTATTGGAAAAAATCAATACATTTGATATGTATGTGTGCTCTAATTCTGGTAAATAGTTTATACTTTCTCTTGTGTAAAGTTTTGTTTTTAAAAACAAAAACAAATTTTAATGATATTTTGGCATATAAAAACAAAATAAACATATTAAAGTTTACAAAAAATATCAATTGTTGTTGAATAAAATAAAATAAATTATTGATTATTTATCACACAAAATAAAAATGCTGTATAACATCAACTAAGGCAATTGATGTTAGAACTATCATGATCACAAAATTTGATCAATGTTTGTTGTTTAAAGATTCATTTTTAATCATTAAATATTCAAAACATAAATATTAACCAGGAATAAGTAAGTATACATATAAAAATTATAATGTGTATATGATTTAAAAAGGCTTTTTAAATCAAGTAATAAGAGATCAAAAACAAAATCAAAGTATAATTTGTTTATAAATTATCATTATACAATTTGAAACTTGATGTTTTGAAATTTAGGTTTGTCTAAATATGTATTAATATGGTGTTCTGTTGGTTAAAAAATAGTTATAAATTATGATTAACAAATAAAAACAATAGTATTCTTTTATTTGTAATTTTCTTGTCATACATTTTCAAACTTTTTTAAAAACATTGACAATAACAACTTAATTGTGTGTATTTGATTTGTCAAACTTGATTTTATCACAACATTTTTTTTAAAAAGACCCCATCAAACTTCATATACTTGTTGATTATTATTTATTAATCTTTTAAAATAATAATAAAGACATTCTTAATATGGTTTTATATTTAAAAACCACACTCAACTCAGATAAAAAATAAAATAATGTGTTAAAATTAAATTATATTTACTTATAGAGTAAAAATACAACTTCAGTTAAAATTTGTTGGATCAAATACAAATATATAAATATAACACCCCTTTATTATAATATTTATACAATTCAAATTGGTATTGATAATAAACAAGTTTATTCAAAAATAAGTTATAACAAAAAACAACAAATTCAAATATAACTGTTTAATGAAATTAAATAACCACACAAGTAATCAAAAATGTTATATAATCATAGGTGAAGAAATAATGTTTATTATTATATATATTAATAAACAATAGAATAAAATCAATGTACAGTCAAAGACGTTTATTTGTCGTAAATATAAATATTGAACTTATTATTTGTTGCACAAATAGCCAATCATTTGAGTGTACGACAATTGAATATTTTGTTCTTGAACATGTAACTTTTGTTGAATTGAAAACACTTTTTTAATAAAAATAAATTTCAATATTAAAAAGAATTTTCTCAAAATTCACTCATTTACAACAAATAGATACGTTTTATTGTTGGATTCACGACAAATAGACGTTTTTGACTGTAAATATAACACATAACATTTTTTCTTTGAGAATTAACAATAATTAATCTTTCTATCCCTCAAAATTTATTAAAACTTTATTGTATGTAAATTCAAAATTCAAATAAAACGATTAAAAATATATTTTTACTAAAGTTTTGGGGTGCTCGAATTTAATTTATTAAAAATTAAATGTAATTCTTAAATAAAAGGTAAGATTGATCATTAATTTTAATTAAATGAAATACTTAATACAATCAGTGGTATATTGTTAAATATAACAAGTAGATTGTAATAAATATCTGTAAGCTAAAAAAATAAAATGTAATTTTAAAATACAAATAGAATTAAAATTATTTTTATAATATCAAAAAAACTGTTATGTTCAAATAATTTACATCATTCAAACTACATCAATATATATATATTCTGAATTCTAAATCCTAAACTTTACTCAAATGTAAAATTTTAAACAATTAAATTAATATTATGTATAAAATTATTTAATTATTTATAACAACTTGGATAATTAAACAAACATGATATTTTTATTCTGTTTGATCATTTAAAAATTTACACCAAACATTATTTCTTATTAAACAAAAAAAATATAAAAAAACTGCAATAAATTTGATTATGTATAAATATTGTTGCTATATTTTGTCAAACACATTAGATGATTTTCCAAATACATCAACTTATTATAATTAGTATTTAAACAATTAATTACAATCAATACTAAAATTGACAGTTGATTGACTATCATAGGCCATTTTAAAAATAGTTGAACTTGTTTTTAATATAGCTTTTGAACATTTTCGAATAACCTTAATAATAAATTATCTCTAATATATGTATTTTACAAATTATGTTTTAATCAAAGATACAAATATTTTATAACAATTTTTTATTTGTCTTAAATTGAAATATATATATATATTCAAGCTATTAGCTAGTGAAAAAATAATATCAATTGTAACATATAAAATAAATGTTGTATTTCATTACACATATCATAAAACGTTTAAACATATTAAAATATAAAATTTAGTCTCAAAATTAAATACCAGTGATAAATTTTAAATGTAAAAACAGAACATAAACAATTTTCATTTAATAATATAAAGATTTTTCAAATATCGTTCTTTTTTGTGTTATTCAAATTATGTTTTAAGAACAATACTCTGAAAAATTATGTTATTATCTATTAATTCTGTCTTATATATTTTTTCAATTATATTATTTATCCAATTAATGATTTGAGTTAAAATGTTATTTAATTCAACTCAACAAAAAATAATTCTCTGTTTATTGTCAATATTGTTTTAACTGTATGTTTTAAAAATGATTAAAAACACAATCAATTAATAAATAAAATGTATATAATTAAAAAGCAATTTTTAAAATCAATTAAAATAACCAAATATTAATGTTTTTTGTCATTTTTGTTTAAAGTCATCGTTTCTAAATTTAATAAAAATATTATTATACATAACGGTTAGTAACTCTTCAATGATACGATATACTGAACACAAACAAATATATTGTTTTCAACTCAAAAAATTGTCTGTTTTAATGATCTAAATTAATTGTGTGGTATTTTATGTTCCGGTCTTTAATTACTTGTTTACACATGAAAATATGAAAAGTTTTGATATTTAATCATCCAATCTTAAAATTGAAGATTGATGTAGAATCAATTGTTTAATTTGTTGTTGGAATATAATTATAATGATTATTTTTTGAATCATTTATAACTATCGTTAGGAAATGTATATATATGTTTTACATATTGATAATTATGAAAGTGTTAATATTAAATCACTTGATAAACACAAGTGTAATGTTAATAGATAATAAATATTTTTTGTGTAATCATTTTAAAAATAACATATCACAACATTTTATAAATTAAAGACCAACAGAAAATTGTCGTACACTTGTGATTTTAGTATCAAACAAACCAAAAAATCGGATTATTTTTTCACTTATAAAATTTGACTAAACAATCAGGAAAAAAATGGGTTTTGAAAAAATAATAACCCGACTTTATAAAGAAAAATACCATAAAACAACTTGTAAGACTATTTTCTAATGTACTACAATTTTGTGGTGCTCTTTATTTTGAAATTTTTATACACGAATACTCGTATTCAAATGTATTTGGATTCAAATAAGAATAATGAATTCGTTTAAACAATTATTGTTAATAATTTGTGTTATTTAATGAGTTTTTAATTAAAAAATGGTGTGGTAATAATCAAAACAAAATACGTCAAAGGTTGGTTTTTTTAATATTTTTATATGTAAAATAGTTTCTAATACAATATGATTACAAAAATATATTTTTAATTATTTCTGTATTTGAATGAAAATATCTTTGTTTGTAACTTATAATAATAATAATCAACATCATATTATCCAATAAATAGAAGACAAACTTTAATTAAATGGACAATTTAAATAAAGTTTGTCATATATGTACATGTTCTTAAACTGAAAAGAAAATACTTTATTTTAAAAACACAAAACAATTATTACCATTAAAAAAACAGAGTAAAAAATTTGTTGTTTTACGATCTTAATTGTCTGTAATAAACATCATGATATTTGATAATACATATTAGTGTGGAATTGATTTTTGATCACAAATAACGATGTTTGTTTTTTGGTATGATATCATTAAAGGAGTTGTTCTTTTAAAAAAGTATTTTTCTATTTTTTTTACACATTTCATATTTTATTTGGCATTTATTTTTTAAAAAGTCTTTAATCTTTTTTAACCAAATTGATCTTTTTTCCTCTTTGTTTTTTATTCCAATTCTAATTTTATTTTTTTTCTTATGCTTTTTCCTCCATTTTTTTTTCTGCCAAATATTTTTAAATCAACCAATCCGCAAAAAAACGGGAAATTTTTTTTTTCATTAAAAAACAATCTTTGGGTATTTTTTCCCGCCAGTTTGCATTAAATAAATAAAAACAAGTTTTTTCATATAAAATTCTGCAGTTTTGGGCTCAATAGCTTATTTTGGGACACCCTGTTATGAAATAGACAATGAAAAAAAGACTAAATTAAGTGATGAAAAAAAAACTTTAAATTGGAACTACTCAAAAATGTGATTTGTAAAACCACAGGAATAACAAAAGCAAAAAAAAACTATAAAATATTAAACAGGTATAGTTATGAATAACTATGACGAGTAATATGCCAGACTCGTTTTTTAATAGAACAAAAATAGTAGGTATTTGGGACTTTTGTTGGACTTTGTTTGGTTTGGTATTTCAACGATTATATACTTTTCCCGATAATTTAAGCAAAAACAAACAACAAACAAGCCACAAATCGGGTTAAATTCTAAGTTATTGGAGTGGGATTTAATCCTCTTTTTAAAACCAAATTCGCTGGAAGTCCAAAAGAAAACTTCAAAGAACAGACAAACAGCTATTGACATGGACGTAACGACTTCCACGCTTATCAAATCACTTCTTTTGGAATTGATAAGTCCAAAGCTTCAATCTTCTCCAAAAGATTTGACAGACAAAGTTAAAGACGAGATATCAAAATACACTCACGACGTCACACTCGAACCTTTCACAACACACGACTATCTTACAAAGTATAAATACCATATGATATCTGTATTCTTCTTCATATTGGTTCTCATCTCTTTAGCTTCCCCAGCAACTACCAGTATCATTTCCGTCCTCTTTGTCTTCTTTCATTATTTGGTATACCACGCACGCTTCTTTGATATCACAAAGTACTTACCTGGGAAATCCGCAAATAACATTTTTGCATACCTCCCCACAGAAAATGTCGAAAGTGCAAAAACAGTGTTGGTTATAGCACACACTGATAAGACCAAAAAGGACGTGAGCCGACGTGGTCCAGTCATCCAAGTCATTATGAACGTCGCAATTTACTTGTTGACGCTTTGTGCGTTAATTGGGTTTGTTGGGGGATTTTTCTTCGGAGACTATTTGCTGTATCCAGTCATCTCAATTTCGTCAGTCCTTTGTGTCATTCTGTCGCTGAGTATAATTAAATACTCGGCGTTAGGGGATATACAAGGTATCGCAACAACATCATGTGCGATTGAAATCTTAAACAAATTCAGTGGAAAATACGGGGGAAATTCCTGCGACAATTCTGATAAAAAAGAAAAGCAGAAAGTCAATTTAGCAATTTTAATTGTTCCAACGAATTCAGAAAGGCACGAAGGAGTTAAAGCGTTTATGACAACACACGACAAAGACAAGAGAGTGAATCCAGAGAGTACCACAGTCATTTGTCTCGACCAATTAGACGACAGCGGTAATATTCGTGTTTTAAAAAGAGAAGGATTTTCAGTGTATAACACCGAAGTAATGCAACGACTTGTCGAAGCATCTCAAGAGGAAGGAATCAAGTTATTTGAAACCATTAACATACTTCGAACACCATTCACTAATGCATCAGAGTGTAATAAAATATATAAAGTGGCTGCCATTCAATCATTATGTAGAACATCGACTCGGGTCGAAAGAGATGGTATAGAGTATTTGGCTAGTCTCGACGGAATCGAGATGATGATTCATGAGGATCAAATTAAAACAATAAACGATGTTTCTGAAGTCATCATGAAATACATAACACTTGAAGAAACACCAATCGGTGACAAAGAAAACACTTCTAAGAAGTCAGAGAGTTTCGAGGAAGAAAACACACACTTTGCAGAGGACAAAGGTCTCCTCAATTCTGTAGTGATTGATGATTAAATTTTGACTCGATAATTTTTTTAATTCGATTGTTGGTGGAACTTCAATGCACCTTTAATCATATTTCTGAATTTTAAAAAACGTCCGTTATTTTTTTTTTTTCAAATCAACATATTTTTAAAAATTTAATAAATTTTTGGTTTCTATTTCTATTTTTGAATAAAACACTCCAATAATTTACTATATCTTATTGTGTAAGTTACTTAACTATAATTTCAAGAAATTATTATTAGAATCTTCTAATAAAAAAATATTATATAATAGTATATTTATACTATGAAAAAAGTTTATTATATATTTATTATATATATATAATATATAAAAAAATAACTATTATATTAATTATTAAACAAATAAATGGAAACTCCAATTTTTTTTTATAATTTATTAATTAGTTTTAATTATTAATGTTTTATTAATTGCATAAAATAATTAAACCTGATTATACACACAAAGTTTGTTTAATATGACTGCCATTCTTAACCTAAGAACGCTGATTCAAATCCACTTATTTTCTATCCCCTCCCTTTGGGACCAACTGGAAAATACTATTTATTATTTCTTTTTATACAAAAAAATAAAATCAACAAATAATAAAAACCATACTTATTTTTTTCTTTTCAATTGATACATTATGCGCGGAAGTGTTCATAACAGCACCAACATCAAAACCTTTATTTAATGTTGGTGCTTTTTCTTATTGTTGATGTCTCAACAATAAAAAACAATTGTTGAGACAAGTGTTTTTTAATTATCATTCTGAGTGTTCAAAGACGTGTTCTTTATTAAAGTCGGAATCCTTTATTGAACTTATCAATTTGGGTTAGTTAGTTTGGTTATTTTTGTTTTTTTGTCAAAAATTATTATATTATAATATTGATAAAATATAATTATTTTAAATAGTTAATTTTTATGTTAATTATATTTATTCAACATCTGTTTTTTTCATAATTAAAAAAGTGTATGTAAATTCAAATCCTATAATTTTTATTATTTTTTCCAGTTCCTTCTTCCTAAGGTTAATACAGTAAAACCTCCCAAGAGCGGTACCTCTGAAGAGCGGGTTCTCTCAAGAGCGGGCATTTTTTAGACCGAAACTAAAAATAGAGTTCTCTATCGAGCGGTTTTTAAGGTTTGATTGGCTAAAAATGCCCGCTCTTGAGAAAACAAAATTACCACGCCCTCCCGCTCTTGGGAGGTTTTACTGTATAGATAATCACTGGATCATCAAAACATAATTAAAAAAGCTGTCGTTTTTTTGACTCGCTTATTATTACCTTCCATTTATTCAACAATCATAGTTGGTAATAAATGTACTACAAAACGGGATATTGTCGAAAATAAATTCTCCACCCATGCAGTTTGGCAAAAATGGAATACCAAACCCATAGAAAATATTACTAATTATATTTCCCGACTTTCATGGATTTTTTCGGAGTTTTCAACACGATTTATTCGAATAAAAATAAAACAAGAATAATGGACGTTTTTATTCAACACTTTTGGGCCATTGAAAGTTCAAACCCAAAAGTGCATAATAACACATTAAAAAAGACTATAAACAGCATAAATGAGATCATTGAATTTCAGACTATTTGAATGGAAATATAATTGGCGGATTTCAAAAGAGTTTAGTAGACAAAGAACTTGAAAAAGAAACAGGCTTGAAAAAGATTTATAGAAAATATTACTCAGTGAGAGGTGAAATAACTAAGAAAAGTGCCCAACTGAAAATGAAAAAAGAAACTAAGGAACTTGTTAAAACTTACAGAAGGTTTTTCGGAAGAAAAATAATGATTCTGGCGGATATACCGACGTTCGTATTAAGACAAGTCATCCAATCGATTTGATGATGAAGACGTTATATGAGGAGCGCTTCAATTTAATGCTTTCTGCTTTACTTCGAGATATCCCGAGTTTCGAGTGCACGTTCATTTCATCTGGTAATATGTTTAACTGTGAAGTTCATGTAGAGAATGAACAAGCAGCTAAAATGGTACTTCTTTTAACAAGTTTTTTTGACTCATATCACTATGTAGTTCTTAAAGATACTTTGACTGAAGACGAACTTGCAAAGTACGCACTTTTTTTTAAATCTTCAACGGCACCATTTCACTCGTTAATTACCCGAGTTAAAGACAAAAAAAGTGGCAACTCACAACTGATAGGGTGTGTGGCTACTTCGAAAGAAGTTAACCCATCTATCACTGATGACTGGAAAGAACAACTCATCCACTTCATTGATAATGCAGATGTCGTTCCAGACGTTGCTCCACCACTCCCACCTAAAGGTCATAAAAATAAAAGTCTCCCACCGTTACCACCTCAAGAACAACAAGAAGGCCCTCCTCCTCCACTCCCACCAAAGAAGTATGAAGGGTATAAGAAAAAGGACTTACCCCCTTGCCCACAACCTGAAGAAATTGAACAACAAGAACAATACGAGGAACATAACACGGAACAAAATGAGTACCAAACACAAACGAATATGTGAAAATACAACAACAAGACGTTGCGCCCCTGAACTCCAAAAGCAAGAACTCGAAAGGAGAACACAAAATTATGTTGAAAAAGCTAAACAAATACTGAAAAGAGTCAGATCGTTGAAAATAAACAGGAACTCTCCCCTCGACTCAATAGATTCTCGTTGAGTTGTGACGCTTCAATTCAAAGCAATGACCAAACAACCACTAGAACACATAGAGATACAAAGGGTAGAGCTATGACAGTGTATGAAAAAGAAGAGGATGAGTATTACGAAGACGTGTATTATGGAGATGGCTATTGGGGGGACGATGGTTTCTATTACGTGTACGACTATGAAACTAAAAGGTATTACCAAGGGGAACCTCCAGAAGACGACATTTATAGAAGTGAAAGTGTTGGAGAAACACAACACGAAGAAGGCCAATATAACGAGAAAGTAATTGTCGAAGAGGCCGATATAGTCGAAGAGAAACAACCAGCTCAAATTGTTGAAAAACAAGAAGCTCCAATAGAAGAGAATGTTCCACTGCAAGATACTAAAGAAGTTAAAGACGAAATTATTGAAGAAAAACCACAAGTAAATGTTAATGAGAATCACAGCATTTCCATCTTAAAACCAGTGGAGAAAAAGACCGAAAAGAAGATAGAAAAACCAGTGGAAAACCCAATGGAAAGTGCTCCATTCGTCAAATTGAGAAAAGTCGAGAAACAAAAACCCGTTGAAACGCCACAAGAAGAAATACCAAAAGAGGAAGGGGCTCCTTTTGTTAAGTTGAGGAAAGTAGAAAAGAAAGAAGAGTCTCCAATGAAAAAAGAAGTCACCGCTGTTGAAGAGAAAAAAGAGGAAGTAAAAGTACCTCCAAAAGTTAAAGAAAAGGAAAAAACTCTTCAAAATTCACCACAAAAAGAGCTTAAAACACCCGAACAACCAAAAGAAAAAATCAAAACTGAAGAACCAAAAATTGAAGAACTTAATCAAAAAGCAGCTGAAAATGTGTCTGAAAGTACGATTGAGACTATAAAAGAAAATGAAGTGGAAAAGGTTGTTGAAAAAGAAGAAAAAATAAAAGAAGCAGTCAAAGAAGAAAATAGTGCCGTCTTACAAGAAGTGAAAGAAGTCCAAGAAACTGTTGTTGAATCAAAATCAGAAGAAAAAGAAAAGGTAGTTGAAGCAACACCAGTGGAAGGATCTTTAGAGACAAAGCCTGAACTTGTTGAATCAAAGAAAGAAGAAATAAAAGAAGAAAAGAAAAATGATGTGGTTGATAATTTGGTTGATGCGCTGTTAGTAGACGAACAATTTGTCCCAAAGTCTGGATTTGATGATTTACCAAAAGAAGAAACAAAAATAGTCGAAGCACCAAAAGAAGAGAAAAAAGAAGAAGAACCGACAGAACCAAAACCTGAAGGAAAAGAAGCTTCAGATGAGGCTCAAACAGAGGGAGTGACACAAGAGGTGAAAGAAGAGGAACCTCCAAAGGTCGAACCACCACGGATTTCTGTCAACGACTTGTGTGAAGGTGCTGTCACACGGCCATCTGTTGCACGACGACCCGGTCGTGGGGGTAAAGGAAGAAAAGCTGCTTCGAAGAATTTGATAGACACGCACAAAGCGATGCGGACGGAGACAAACGACAAAGACGAAGAGAAGAATGGCGTTCCCAAACTGGCTAAAAGTACTGTTGAGTCTGTGAGTGAAGAAGACACTCAAATCAAACCGAAGAAACCGATGGGGATATCTATGGGTGGTGGGATGATGGGGATGCCTGCAATCACATTAGCCGACCTACAAAAGGGTAAACAACACAAACAACCCAAACCTGCTTTATCACCACGTAAAGCAGTTGAGATGCGTAAAAAGGAGGAAGAAAAGAAAGAAGAGAAGAAGAAGAACAGTGGAGGACTTTTAGGGTTCTTAAAGAAAGAGGAGAAAAAAGAGGAGAAGAAGGAAGAACCCAAGAAAGAAGTCAAAAAAGCGACGAAAGAAGTGAAGAAAGAGATCAAAGAACCAATTAAGGAACAAAAAGAAAACAGTAATACTCTACCTTTCCAAGTCAAGCTGCGTACTAGTGGATCCGGTCCTAAGACTACACCACCAGTACCAGCCCAACAACCATCAACACAACATGTACAAAGAAATTCATTGGGGAACGCATCAAGTGCACTTCACCCAGTCGGTGGATCTAGCACATTGAAGAAAGGAAATTTAACTGGTCCACAAAGTTCACCAACACCATCGGGAAGCTCATCGACGTCGCCATTTTCAGTGAAATTGAAATCGTCGTCCTCAAAGACGGTAGTGAAGTCGACTAGTCCTAAAGTGGAAGAAGAAGGAGAGACGGAGTTGCAGAAGAAACTCAGGCTTAGAAGAGGAAATTAAGTTTCACACATTTATTAATACTTTTTTGGGTTTGGAACTATAAGAGATAATTTTGTGCGAACTTTTTAGTTCTCAGATATTTCATGTCAACACCAAACAACGACACCACTGATGATCAGAAGGATCTATTCCGAAGGTCACAAGTCATCCCAAAAAGAAAGAGAGAGTTCATCATCGTCGGTAATAAAATTGCGTACGCAACACAAGACGCATTAGTTAGTTTCATCTCGGAGTCTTGTTGTGGTTTGTCGTTTTTCATTTCTGATATTTTCGAATAGGAACAGATACATTTGTTTCATGTTGTTCTTTATCGTGTAAGAGCGATAAATTATAGATACATTATAACTTGTATACTAGAATAATATAGTAGTAAATGGAATTAGAAATTCAATCCGGTTGAGTCAAACTAAAAATAGAAAATCATTATAGTATAGTTATTTAATTAATGATTGTTAATATATAGACAACGTAACTCGAGAGGCGTTTGTATTCACATTTCGATGTTACACAGAACAGAACGTCGTCTTGCAAAAGTTTTTGGAGATATATCAAGCGAACCCAAAGCAACACGAAACTATTATAGATATCATGATACAATATATCTCTAAAGTCATGACAATATCTGATAAGACGACTTTGGACTTAATGAATACACTCATAAAACTCCATCATATAGAAGACCCAGCTAAGGCAGATTACTTGGAGGCGTTACTTTCAAAATCTCAAACGCAAATATTTATCCCTCCTACAACAGCTGATACAACACTTTCTCAACAAATGTTTGACTTGGACTATTTGAGACAACAAAAAGTATTTGAACCTTCGAAGAGTCCACAACCAAAATTTGGCGAAATTCCGCCATCAAAATCGCCAAATTTACAAAAGCAGTCGATTGTCATTGGACAGAAACCAATTTTGGTCGACAACCCAAGTGCAGTCAAAAAGGTCTCCGACGACTTGCAACAGCCGACTTCTCGTGTCCAGACATCTTATTTTGGGAATGTGAATTTGTCGCAGACAGTGGCTTACCCCAAAACAGATCGTTCAAACGTTCGAACTAAATTGCCACAAACACTTCCGATCTATTTATCCGAGTTGGACTTCATCAATATACCCGCAAAGGTCTTTGCACAGCAAATCACATTAATCGAGTTCAACAAGTTCATTGCGATTCCAATCTCTGAGTTGTACTTTTGGGACTCTTCTCAGAGAGAAAACTCTTCTCCGAACATCATGGATTTCTTAGAACACAACAAAAAGATGTCGCATTGGTATATCCAACTGTTGTTACTCTCACCGAAATCAAGAAGACTCCAAGTGTTACGCAGATTAATAGAGGTTGGAGTCCGAATGAATGATTTAAATAACTGGAGTGGCTTGGTAGAGGTCACTACGGCACTTGATGCGTTTCCAGTGTATAGGCTTCAGAAATTATTTTTGCAGTTAGACGAGAACGACATCGAGAATCTGAGGCGAATAAAAGAGATGGGGAGTATGGACGAATTGTTAATGAACGACAATGGGATCATCCCTGGCGCTTGTGTTCCATTTATTCAAAAGTATTTAAAAAAGTTTGTGGACATCAATAAAATGATGCGGCCGAGTATCATGGCGAACGACTTCACTTTGATTAACGTGGAGAAGTGCAGAGCACTAAGTAAGTACATTATAGACTGGATTCAATGCACGAAGTATCCGTATCCATTTGGGTGTAATACTATTATACAAGACTGGATTTATAATTGTTTGGAGTGTGTAAAGTGTGAGGAGCGCATCGAAGCTGGGTGGAGTCTTAAAATCGAGCGCAAAAAGTTAAATGAAAGTGGGGAGAAAGTGTGTGACATTAATTTGCTTGAGTACTCGACGGAAGATATGGTCTTCCCCAATCGCGTGCAAGTTGGGGTTGGGTTGACGATATACAAATTGATGAATTTTTTGAATACGTCAGGGATCTTTGTGTTACTCCCAACACCAAAAAAGCCGCAAGGAATGATATTATCAATAGATGACACCATTGGTAATATCATACTGAAAACGCAGAATTACATGACTGAAGACTCGATGTATGGCATAGTGAAAGAAATTGTCGAAATCAAAGTTGTCTTGGCTTCACATGAGAAGCCGACGGACATATTCCGATTAAAAAGGATATGGGTGGACCCGACACAGAGTGTAGTGCAAAATATCATTTGGATCAAACACGTGTTGGGTATCGAAGACACGTTTGAAGGGGAATTCTATGATGAAAAGTATCTGTTCTTGTGGAGAGAAGACATTTTCTCGCAATTCCAAGTGCTTTCGCCGTTCAGTAAGAATGTGTTTAAGACCGATGGGGTACTCATGTTGGTACCAGCACGAAATGTAGTAGCTCCAATAGACTTGGACAATAGTGCAGAGAGATTTGAAGTGACAATGGGAGTACTGGAAGGTATTGAGTCTGATAATAAGACCAAAATGACGTGTTACACGATGGTCATGAGAAACTCGTTACTGTATTTCTATTCACAAAAAGATACGCATGTGATAGCATTAGGGTATTACAAAGTGAAGGTAATTTATGATGTGAAACGAGATGAAAACCTCATACTCTTAGTTGAATGTAGTGACTCTTCTGAGATGAATGGGGTTATTATTATTCTTGATAAAAGTAAAGTGAAAGAAGCGACATTCTCGACACTTGATTTGGCAGAGAAGTTGTCACAGTTTTGTGTGTCGTCACAAGGGAAAAGGTGTATAGGTGTTGCTCTTGAGAATTTAGGTGGGAATGGGATACCACGGATATACGACGAGTTGTTGAATTGCGTGTTTACAACCGAGGACTTAGCTATGAGTGATTCCTATTTTGATATCACATATGCACCTAAAAAGTTTATGGAAGGGATGCTAAAAATAGAAGATGGTGTTATCCCAGCCGACCCAATAGTATGTTCGCAGCTCTTAGTTTTATTATTTAAAAT